ATTTTAAATTTAATCTCCTAGCTTTTGAATGAGTATCCACAATGTAATTTTATTGCATAAGTGCAACTTTAAGCGTTATGTCAAAATCTATATTAAAAAAAACCAAAAAGAGTGTCCTAGCTACTTTTCTGAATAGAATGCTGAACTGTATGAGCTGCACAACGTACACTATAAATCGGATAGGATAAAATAGTGTTCTGTTTATCAATATCATATTTATATACAACATCCATATTTTCATCATATGCTGATTCACTCATTATATCATAATCAATTTCAGTGCAAGAGCTTTAGAGCTTTGATAAAATTTGTACCTTTGTCAGAAATAATTGTGTATATTAGTTCAATATTAATTTTAAATTTTTGTAAAGTTTTTAGTATATTCTCTTTTATATATTATCCTGTACTTCTTTCTTTCAGCTCTACAATTCCAAGAGTTCTCAAAATTATAATGGACTTGATATAAATTAAATATTTACACCAAGTGAACTGCAATCAACTTTTAAACTTATTAGTTTTCATTCTACCTCTCTTGATATTTTGTCTGCGATGGATTGAGATAATTCGGGATAAATTTCTTTGTTAATAACTAAATTGAGCCGAGATAAAATAGATTTATAATCCTTTAAAATCCCGAATCCTCAAAAATTGATAGAGACCAACCATTTACAGTAACCATAGAACTCATCAAATCATCAGATGTTAAATTTATAGATTTTTTTGGAAAGGCGGTTTCTATATTAATTTTGTGGTTTTTTGCAAATACGTTTTATATGTTTTTTCAAATAATTTAGATATTAATTGTTGTGATTTCTTTCCAGATGTCTTTCTAAATTTGACAAATGACATTTTTAATTTGCAAAATAAGCATACTGATTTATTTTCTATGTATCAATAAAATGCTTCTCAAATATGATTTTATCTTAAATCTATATAATAAAATGATGAATTGCAGAACATTTATTAAAATTTCAAATAAAAGAGTCAAAGAGTATAAATTTTTTAAATAGCAATGATTTCATAGAAAAAAACAGATATATGAATTTAATTTTATATATAATATGCACTTCATTAATATATGTTAAAAATTAATCTGAACAAAAAATAAATGATTAGTATATATAAATTTTAATAAGTTTATAAAAACTGCCTTACATCTTTGTTTAACAATTTTTAAGTTAGATTTTGAGAATTCTTTAAATTAACAATATCCATTATAATAATTTTTTTGACTCGTTCACTTTCATTTTCCTCTAATTAATAATCTTTGAGAATAAGTTAAATATAAAAAATAAATGGCGTAAATGTATTAAAAATTTATTAACACTCCAATAGGAATTTTTAAGAATAAATTTAAAAATGTTAAAAATGGCGTAAATGAATTAAGTTGTTTAAAATTTACTAACACTTCACTTAATTGGAAATTTGAAAATATTATAAAATCTAAATTATTAATATTTATCTTAATATATGATTTTAAACAATACACTCAACCCGGTTGAAGCCTGGTTCAGAAAAATTCCCAGGTTCGGCTTGGGGTTTTGAAAATTTTATAAACGGGGTTCAGATTCGGTTCTTGTTCAGATTTTTTTTTCAAAACCTGGGTTTCATTCTAATTTCTGATTTTTAGATTCATAATTAGGACTACGCCTATTTCAAACTGCACTGATCCGATACCAATATTTACAATGATTGTTTTGACATTATTTTATATATTTTAAGCGGCCAAACATATCACTCATTTATTTTCAGAATGTTACAATCGCTCAAAATCTTGTTAAAAAAGACTTTAGCAAGGCGTAAAATAGCAATCACAGAAAAGCATTCATTTCACAATCCGTAAAACATTTCTCTGTTTTTATCAACTAGATCCTTTCATCCTATAAGAAACTATCCCATTTGGTATTTGGCCATTATGTCTTATTCTCTTCTATAGGTATTCAGCATCGTGACCCCCCTCTCCATATTATTTTGTTTAGAAATTCATTAGTTTATCACTAAAATCAAAAATGATTGCTTGCTGCCCTTTGATAGAGTCACCTTCGGCGATTCTACAAAGGTGGAAAAGGCTGTTAATAATATTAAGGATTCCACTGACAATCTTGGACTTGAGATTAACCCGAATATTGCGAAATCAATACAATTCCATTTAACGTTTTTGATTATAAGCATACCTCAACGAAAAAATTATCGCATTTGGGCTCTCCCATTGATAAGGAGTCAATAAATTCTTCTTTTTTTTAGCTATATTGACGATATTTTTGAAAATTTACCTGTCTCTGCTAGGTAAACTCTTTTTTTAATTAAGAATTTTTTTAACTATTCCTAAAATTATTTACTCTTTACAATCAAGTCCAATATTTTTAGAGAGGTGCATCTAGTGAGATTCGAAACCATAATAAGAGTCATTCTTAGTAATGGTAAAGATAAAATTATGAAAATATGATTGGATTAATTAATTATAAAACATTATGCGTTAATAATTTTAATAGAATACTAAAAATATTTTTATTATCTTTATATTATATTATGTCAAATTAAATCTATAGGTTTTTATAAATTTAAAATATATAATTATATTATATGATGTTAAAACAAATCATGAGACGTTAAAGGGTTAAAAGATAATGGAATAATAAGAAAAATCTGTGTATAAATTTTTATAAATAGCGTTTTAATCAAAATATTCACTTATCCCGTTTCTTAAAAATCAAAAAAGTCTCAAAGCTTTAAAATTTTAAAAAGGTTTGTATTTATAAGATATATAGTATATCTTGTATACACAAGAGAAAATGGGCCTTAATTCCTTATGCCTATCCGTGTCAAGGCCATTAACAAAAATATTTTTAGGTCTAGGCCCGGTTTAGTATTAAAAAATATTCTCAAGCCCATTATAAGCTTGAAAAAACTTTCCCAAGCCCATATCCAAAAATTGTATTTAATAAAAATAAACAATATTTCAATCTATTTAGTCAATCATTTTGTTTTCAATATTAAATTTACTATTATTAGTAGAAAACAATTGAAATATTTTTTTTAAGTTTGCAATTGTTTTAAACAAGCTAAATTTAATTGAATTTTTTTTAGGACTGCCCATTAAAAATAAATTTCAAAAACTCAAGTCCAACCCAGGCCTGCACTAAAATATAATTAGGCCCGTAACCGACCTTATGAATATCTCTGCTCACCTATTTTAGCCTTTATACAAATATGTATAAATTTATATGCTACATTCTAGCTAGCACATTATATATATATTAGTGATCTGCACCGGGCCTAATATTTCAAGCTCAGCCCGGCCTGAAATTTATTTTAATAAATTTTGCCGGCCCGACCCGATTACGAAGTATTTTTAAAAAGTTTTTCCGGCCCAACCCGAACCCGAAATAAAAATTTACTAGCCTGGTCCGGTTCGAATTTATTTAAATATATAAATTATTTTTTATAATTACTCAAAATAAAAGATATATGTTATATGGCCTCTAGTTTCTATAAATAAAATCATATTTTTATTTTACATTAAAAATTCAACATAAAATTGATAAATTTAGATATATTAAAAAAAATTCCCAAATTCCAACTCGACCCGAATTTTAAAAAAAAATAATAGACCCGAACGGACATCGGGCCGAGTACGGGCCGGACCTGCTTTTGCAGATCTCTAATCATATATAAATATATTCATATTAAATTTTCCATATAACAGTATCTTTATTTGAATAAAAAGTAAAAACATAATTAATAAAATAATGAATAATTAAAATTTGGAGATTAATATTGATATCCTTGTTAATTAATGAAATTTAAATTCACGTGATTTTTATTACTATAAGTTCCTTCTTAATAAAAACAATAAATAAACAATAGACAACACCAAATTTTGTGTAATTTCTTATTTTTACTTTACTTCCTATCATTAAAAAAAGTATAAAAAAAACATTGAACTTTTTTATTTTATAAGTAGCGCTTCCTTCACACTTTTTTATGGGAGTTATGAAGATTTATTGCGGGAAAGGGAAATTAGATCAAAAACAAAAAATATGTATAAAATTGATATCAGTTAAATTTAAAAAAAAGGACTATCCATTATTTTTCTTTAAGTCCAATATCGGTGCAGATACGTCAATTAAATATTGGTACAGCCATATCCATAACATAATACTGTTTAAATCTTTGAGGTCAATTCATTCTTCATCGTATTTTTGAAATGATCTCATATTCATCATTATAGATGGATTTCTATCTTAATGGGATTTTCAGAGTGGTCATCTATTTATTTTTCAAGACATTCTCAGCGACTTTAAATGGCCCATGGCGGCACCGTTTACCCATTCCTCCCTCCCTTACAACTCAAATTCCTAATCTTTATCACGGTCATTATATTCCTTGGATGTCCCAAATGCTCATCATTAAATGTTGATCCTTGAAGATCCCGTTATTGCTGCACAGCCATGAAATCATCATAACATCGTTTCTATAGTTGTTATTAGTGATCTGCAAGGCTAGGCTCGATCCCCCCTTGGGGTCCGAATTTTATTTGGTTTTAGATGAACCTAATTTTTGAAAATAATTTTGGGTATGACAAATTTTTTTTTTTTTAAATTTCGATGAAATTCAGTTGTATATTGTATACAAATGCAGTCATATCTTCCCCTACATGCCATGGACATATAATTTTTTTAAATTAATAAGGCTTACCAATCTAGTTAAAAATATTTTATAATTTTTATCTCCTAAAATTGAAACGGAATTGATAATTTTTAATTTTTTTTGTAATCCGATATGTTAAATCCAAAAATTTTAATAACTGGCTCTTGCCAATCCCCTAAGATCATTATTGATAGTGAAATATTTTAGAAGATATAATTTTACTTAAAATATAAATTTTAAATTATAAAAATTTAATTAATCTTAAATTTTTTTGGAACCCCTTGCTTATTTTTAAACATGATTGGGAATTTAAATTACGATTCATGTTCTTGACTGAAAAAATATTAAAGGTTCTTCGATGCCAAGAGACGAAATACCTCGCAGAGAAGAAATTTCAGAGCAAATTAAACTGCACGTTATAACCAATGCATATGGAAAGTTTATTGATCATATTGAAAAGCATATATTACGGTGTAACATTATTAATAATTTGTTTTATTGAAAATAAATAGAAAGATTTCATTTCATTTATGCTCTTTTAATTTTATACTATTTTTTAATAAGGATAATCTCATTTATAAGGAGAATATTTTTAAATTTATAATAATATATATAGAGAAGATTATTTAGAAATATCTGACAATAGTAAGGATACGATTGTAATAAATGCGATGTGGTTAATCTCCTTGCAAACTGTTTTCGCTCATCAGCTTCCAAGAATGCCTAAAGAATATATTACCAGAGTCGTTTTCGATCCGTAATTTAATTATACAGATTTTATTGCTAATTAAAATGTGCTATGATATTCACCTTCTATCTATCATATAAAACCTTAAACATATATTATTCTTTTTATTTATAATTAAATATGTTTTTATTTTTGAATTTCAATTTAATTAGTAAACAGACAAATTTGGCTCTTATTAAGGATAACAGAGTTATAGGGGGCATATGCTTCCGAATTTTTCCACCCAATGGATTTTCAGAAGTTGTTTTTTGTGCCGTTCTAGGCAACGAGCAAGTCAAAGTATATAGTTCGTCAAATTTTTAGTCTATATGCTCTGGTTGTAGGGATATGGTACTCATTTAATGAATCATTTAAAAGATTATCACCTTAGAAGAGGAGTTATGCATATCATGACATATGCCGATGAATTTGCCATAGGATATTTCAAGAAACAAGTTGTTCCATTTATATTGTATTTTTATAATTTATTTATTATTAGGGCTTTTCATCTAAAATCGATTTTCCAGAATACATGTACTCTGGATACATCAAAGAATATGATGGGGCCACACTTATGCACTGTAAATTAAATCCTAAAATTTTATATACCCAATTTTCATCTGTAATTAGGTATATATATATATATGAAAAAACTTATTTTTTTTTATTTCAAATTATATTTTTAGACTTCAAAAAGGTATCATTAATTCAATTATTTGTAATCGAAGGAGAAGTAAAGATTGTTATCCAAATTTCAATATGAATAATATTAATAATAATTCTGTTGATGAAAATTTTGAAGCCAATACATGCGTTACTATTTACCCAGGATTAGGATCTATTTTTAGAGATGGAAAGAAAATAATTCCTTACAATATGCTGCCAGGATTTAAAAATTTAGGTTAGGTATAATAAATAATTATAGAAATAAAAGTAAAAGTTTGGAGGTTCATAAATGTGCTTTGATTCAATTTAAATATATTATTAAAATGTATAAAATGATGCATTACGGAATAAAAGAATATCTTCCAAAAGAAATGGCGAATCAAAACGCTATAGAGTATGAAGAAGATTTGACACAGCATTACCCAGAGCCCAATGATTTGTATCCTGTTTTAAAAACTATATTAAATCATTTGAAACAACAACCAACTGCTCTGCCTTTCCTCAAACCTGTCGACAGAATTCAAGTGCCTGATTATTATTCAATCATTCGGTTTCCTATGGGTATAAATTATTTTTTCTATTTTGCTGTCATTTTAATGCTAAATTTTTTTCATATTTGCAGTATTAATTTTTTTCTTAATTTTATTGGTAATTAAATAATTATACTGAAGTTTTATTCACAAGTTGATAATACAATTTATTCATTATTATTCATAAGATTTCCATACAATTCAAGAGAGACTTAAAAACAGGTATTATGTACATATTAAACTCTTTTCGGCAGATGTCCGTAGAATTTTTTATAATTGCCGCCTGTACAATCGAACAGATTCCCAGATATATAAATTCGCGAATGCACTTGAAAAGTTTTACAACTCCAAACTACTTGAAAATGGATTTTTCATAATAGATTAGCAAAATTATTTGTATTAGTCATTTATATATAGTATCATAATATATTATAAAATTAAATACTTTTTATATGATCTATCAATCAATTTATATGGTTTTATTATATGGAAGACCTAAATCACATAATATTCTAAAACGCTACACTCGTTTTTATGAAACTTCATATTTAATTAAAGAGTATATATGAAGCTTAATATCCTCTATTTTATTGAATTGAGATCAAATATGCTGAATTTAGCATATCTCAGGTTTCATTTTATTTTGGTAAAGATTAATTCCTATTGTGCTGGACTATAGCCCGACCTTTTTTCCCATTTCCCTAACAAATTTTAACATGAAAACCAAACATATTTGAAATATTTTTTTTTTAAATCATTAAACTTCATTTTCAAATTCAATATTAAAATTTACAATAAGTTAAAATTTTGATTATATATTGTCCTTGTGTTTTCTGCTCTCATGATGTAGTTCACAGGAAAAGATCTGGCAAAACGATCTACACAAGTATGATCCCAAGTTAGGGTGCATTCACAGTAGAGAGCGACAGCGACACGATAAAATACAAATATGTGTTTACCAATGACTATTCATAATGAGCTTTTGCGACGTGACACCACATTCCCGCCACATTTGTTACATTAAACATAGAAATCAAATTACAAAACATTTTGCTATTTTTAAAGCGACATAACTACAATATGGCCCAATTAGAAAATTTGCAAATGAGTTTTTGAAATGCTAGTAAAATATAATGATATATATATTTATATTTTAGAATATAAATAAATATAATGTTATATATGGAAATCAATATCAGGTTAAAACAATATTGAAATAGGTAATTAAAGAGTATATTTTGAAATATATTTCATTTGCAGTAGAAATGGCTTAATCGGCATGGAAAAATCTAAGAGATTGCTTTATGAGGGATCATAATCAAGATCTTTAAAGAATGGATCAGGGACTAATCACACTCTCACTTGGCAATTGTAACATAACTTAGCTTTTCTAATTCCAACCATCTACCAGGGAAACAATATACAATGAAAAAAAAATCTTATTATATTTAATATTGATGAAGCAAATATTGCTAGAATAATGTTTTAGCAGGTGAGTGGAAATAAAAATTAAAAAATCGATTTATTTTATTAAGTTGCTATTTTTTTATTTAAACAGTGCTGTAAAGTAACGGCGAAAAGAAACGCCATTCGTTACCTCAAGGTATATGGGAAAAATATATTTTATTTTTTCCATATTTTGTAAATAATTTAAAACCACCAAAATTCCTCATTTTATTTTATTATTATTAACTAACTACTTTTTCTCTTTTTTACAACTATATATATACTATATAAAATTAGAATATATATGATTAAACAAAAAACAAAAAGTAAGGTTACGAAAAATAAAAAGTAATATAAGTTGAATTACAAAAATAAAAAGTTAAATTTGAATTCACAACATTCTCCTTCTTCTAAAAAGCCTTCCCATAATCTCATCAGAAGTCATGGAGAGTTCGTTGTCCAAGTAGTTTATCGTTTTGGTCATCAAGTTGTTTCACAAGTAAAAATATTGTTGGCTTGTCCCAATCGTTTACTGTGTTTGTACGTTTTTGTTTTTTTTTTACTTTTCTTTATTTATTATTATAAATTAAATTTATAAATTATAATTATATAATTAAAAATAAAATTCTATAATTGAGTCCCCAAAAAGGAACCATAATTGTGTCTAAAAATTTCTATTTGAATTTTTTGTCGAATAAAAAGGAATTCTCTTGGTTCATTTGTGAAAAGTCGTATTTTATTAGCAAGATTTTTTAAAAACAAAAATGTTGAAGGCGAAAAATGCCCGTTAGTAGAAGTCACAACTGGAGTGAATAAAAAGTTTTTAAAATTTTTGTATTTGTTTATCTTTTTAATTTCAGCCTGTGTTATTAAATTGAAATTTATGTTTGAAGGGAATGATGAAACACGTGTAGTCCCATATGAGTGATTTGCCGAGGGCCCAAGGTATGGTTGTCATACCATCAGGTCTTAAACCATCTACTTGAGATAAATTTGATGGTTTGAGATTGTTAGGAATGTGTGCAGCTGTTAAGCTTCTATTTATTATATGGTTTACAACTGAGTGGCGTTGATGTCGCCCTTGACTAAAAATGCAATTTAAGCCATGTCTACCCTTTGAATCAACGGGTGATTTGCATTTGACGCAAGCATGAGGCTGTACTATATCGTTTGTTAAAATCGTAAGCTTAATATCCTTATCGTAAGTTGTCCTTATAAATCGTGACTTTGTCATATAGCTTGCTTGGTTGTACTCAGTTGTTATTATTATCATTTTTCCAAATTGTTATTATCATCAGTAATAAAAGAAACAAGTAATTTAACAAGTTATATATGTTTTAAATAAATTTTATTTCTACTTTTAAAAAATCAAATAACATGTATAATAATCAACTGGTATATATACTAAAACATATCAATCAACTGGTATATATACTAAAACATTTAAATCAACTGGTATATGTAACAAAACATTTAAATTAATACTCAATAAATTATTTCACAAATTTGAATAAACAACACAATTAACATTCCCCTCCTCGACAAAGCATCAAGTTGCTGCTCGGTGGGCGCATAAGTCTGTCTGAGTCGCGTGAGTCCATACGTTTTCTTAGGTTTGTTAAAATTGTTGTACGTTATCATAAGAAATAATTGATCAAATTTGAATATATAGAATACGGAATATAATTTTAAATTTGGAATATGGAAGTAGAATTCCGTAAGAATGATATATAAAAATTTTGGAATATGGAATGATAAATATGTAGAATTCCGTAAGAATGATAAATCAAAAAAGATTATTATATTTCGCGTTTTTTTTTTAAATTTTGCGTTTTATTTTAATAATTTAAGTTATAAAATCTTTTAAATAAGAAGGTTTTTGTTTAATTCTTAATGGTTTGAAAGGTATCTTATTATTTTCACTTATATCTACACTTCCCTCCTTACAAGAATTCTTAGGGTAACTTTCATAATATTTAAATCTATTATAACATTCCCTTTTTCGTAACTGGTCTATATGTTTCCTTACTACACCTTTATCCGTATTAACTTGGAACATGGTGTCACTCTCTTAGTGCGTGATGTTGCCCTTGCACCAAGTGTCGTCACTCTGTTTCTTGTGCCAAACGAAGTCTCCTACATTAAAGGTCGATTTCTCCGTAGCGATATATTGACTTTGTCAATTTTATCCTCCAATGGTTTCAATAAGTCCCACTTTATTCAAATATCGCGGTTAAACACTCTTTTGGATGGTGTGACACCTGTAATATCATTCGGAGTGTTTCTGTAGTTAAACAAGAATCTGCCCAGAGCAGTTTCTAAGTCAATTTTTATGTTTCTTTTCATGTGATTGAATGTTCTCACCATACGTCCAGCTTGTCCATTAGATTGCTGATGGTAGGCGGATGTTAGTACATGTTTTATTCCATAGTTACTACAAAATATCTCAAAGTCTTTGCTTGTAAAGTTGGTACTATTTCACAAATTTGAATAAACAACACAATTAATAAGTAAGTTGCGAATAATAAGAAATAATAGTTCATCATATTGGATATAAGAATAATCAAAGAATGATAAATCAATAAGATTGTTATATAATATTTTCAGCGTTTTAATTTTTTTTTTGCGTTTTATTATAAGCGTTTTAATATTTAATTTACTTTATGCATTTTAATATTTATTTTATATTTTAAGTTATATAGTCTTTTAAATAAACAGGTTTTTGTTTAATTCGCACAGGTCTAGAAATAGGTGTTATATCGTTATTATCAGTAATTTTTATATTTTTGTCAACACTTCCCTCCTTAAAAGAATCCTTAGAGTCATAGTTAATAATTGTGTTAAAACAGTTTCTAATTCTTATTTGATCTAAATGTCTCCTCAAAATACCTTTCTCTGTCTTAATTTGGAACATCATATCACTTTCTTTATGTGTGATTATACCTTTGCACCATTTATCATCACCTTGTACTTTGTACTAAACAAAATCTCCTACGTTAAAGGTTCTATTTCGTGGTAAAGTAACGTTTATTTTATTCTCCTTCTCCTCCAACGGTTTTAATAAGTCCCATTTAATTCTAATATCTTGATTAAACATTCTCTGAGAAGGTGTAACACCTGTAGTATCATTACGCGTATTTCTGTAATTAAATAAAAATTTGCCAAGTGCGATATCTAGGTCAATTTTAATATTCCTTTTCATATGTGTTTTGAATGTTCTCACCATACGTTCTATAGGCCATTGGATTGCTGGTGATACGCAGATGTGAGCACATGTTTAATACCAAAATTGTTGCAAAATTTTTCAAAATCGTTACTCGTAAAATTAGTGCCGTTATAAGTAACTATAGTTACAGGTATTCCATATAGCGAAATAGTTTTAAAGATTTCTTTTAAAGTAACGTCAGTCGTAATATTTTTAACAGGAATAATAATTGGAAATTTGCTGTCGACTATTATCAACCAATTTTTTGTGAAAAACGGACCCGCATAATCTATATGTATCCTTTCAAACGGTTTGGTTGCCGAAACCCATGGTTTTTGTATCTTTATAGGATTATCATGGTATATGTTATAATCGTTACAACTTTTCACTTCCATTACTATGTCATTATTTATACCAGGCCACCACATGTAATCTTTGGCTAAGGATTTTATTTTTCCTGCTCCCAAGTGACCTTCATGTAATGACTGTAGTATATTTTTTCTCATAGAAGACGGAATTATGATTCTGTTGCTTTTGTAAAGACAATCCTTAATTATACTTAATTTCAATTCAATGTTATTATAAATGTTATTCATTATAGGACTGTTGTTTTTAATATCATTTATGACTTGTTTTAATTCCATATCTTTCAAAGTTTCATCACAATTTTGATTAAAATTAATAGGTAAATCCCCATATTCATTTATTATAGTGATATTTTCAATAGTTTCATCATGACATTCTTGTGGTAATCTCGAGAGACAATCAGGAACAACATCATATTTACCGGCTTTATACTTTATATTAAAATCATATCTTCCTAATGTAATATTCCACTTCTGGAGTCTTAAGGACATGGTGCTATT